GACCGTGCCGAGCATTGTGGCACGTAAACTTTCGTCGCACACTAATTTTCTTTCCTTCGCTTCTCTCTTTCCCTGCCGCGCCTGGATTGTGCGATCGGATGGTAGGGTCAGGGCTCACGCAAGCACTGCTTAGTATGAGCTCTGATTCCAGAGTCCATCCATACAAATGATTCGGATCAAATCTTAAAAAATGGCGTAAACCAGCTGTACGGTGGGTGCGTATATGCAGGTGCGCGCTGTTTCGGGTTAACGCGCACATTACGAATTCATGCCCAGACTTAGAGCCGCTGAACAAATAGGCCTCAGTCCAAAATGCGTCAAGTCATTAGTCGTTACCTGTACTCCCGACACTCGAATTTAAGTCACGAAATCTCCCTTTTACACAATCCAAACATATTTCATGGCAACATGACAAACTCGGCAAGGTAATTGGTGGATATTTCCCGCCATGCCGGGCGCACAATTTGTGAGGGATTCACCAACCACTCAATCATTACTTCTCCCTTATCATATCAAGTACCGTGATTCTTAATTCCCACCATCTACTTCAGATATGTGAAACCCCAAATAACAGCCGACGTCGCAGTCGCAAACCGCATTTACGCACATATGCCCAGCCGCTGATGCTAAACGCACTTTTCTGGTCGCAGTCCTCATCGAATGCATTTGCCTGTCCGTCTGGCACCAGATTTGCTAGCGCCTGTGTTTAACTATAACTTGACGCAACCAACAGCGAGGATACTGTAAGGTTAGAGTATTGCAGCATCTTAACACAGGGCTCAGGGCGACGTTCGTACATGGCATATTAGTTCATACGGTCATGGTATTCCTGGCATTCAAATATATCTGCAATAGGAGAATTACTGTAATGCGACATACAACGGAGCGTGCTGATCCAGAGGGCGACAGCGGCGGCGTGATCTCCGTGTGTAGGCACTGGCACCCTTGGAACACAAGAGGAACGCACCGGAGTTCCCAACGGCACGCTGGGGACACCGTCACTCCGAGATAAGTAAACGAAATCCTTGCCCGCCGTCTGGTCCACGGACGGGCAATTCTGCTCCCAACCAAACACTCGGCATTCACCGCTATCGAACTGGGGTGAGAACCACGTCTTGCAGTACTTAATCCTACGTTGGCAACCTCAGAAGAAACAACGCTTAACTGGCTATCAGTCTTCTTGCAGCCGAAGGGCTCATATAAATGACCACACATTTCAGGAGAAACCCTTTAATTGCACCCGATCATTCCTACCGCCCATCCTCGGCTTAGCAGCCGCGGGTTTGTGCAGTGGGACCAGTCTGTTATATTGTCCGGGTGGCATGACGGCTCTGTGCAACAAAACCCTGTCCCCTGGGGCATAGATAACTTGATTTGCCTTCCTTTCATGCATAGGTTTGTTTTTGTCATGACATGCGCTAGCTGCATTCAGAGCAAAACCATACGTTTTCTGCGAGTCTGCAAGTAGATTGTCAAAACATTGTGCGATAGCTTTCCACCAGTTTACTAAAGGTGCCTAGATGCGTTTCGGCGGGAAGCTTTGCACACCGCCCAAACATCAGTTCGTGCGGGGAAAACTCTAGAGAGCGCTGAATTGTGATCTATATCCAAACACTACTTATACATCAGTATCAGCTGTGTTCGCCCCACTGTTCGTGCCGCCCCGACTCCAGATGTTTTGATAGTATCGCTACAGTGGTGCGATCTAGTCAGTCAACGATGCCATTTCCATTGTGGACGACAACTATTGATTTGAATTTTCAACGCCCAAAACTCATTTTTTGTCAAGACATCCCCGGTAAACAAATATTCTGATTCGAGTGAATTCTAGAGCGAACTCCGTGCCTGCTGATGAATTCGTCAACAAAACTGGAACTACCCTCGCCGCGGTGAAAGCACACAAAAGGTAAAACTCACAGCAGCGCGGAAAATGATCGGCGAGAATTAGCAAGTGTTTGTTGCCACTAACTGTACGTGGTAACTCTGACGAAATATCCATGCCCATCACCACCTGAGGTGTAAATACAGACAGCTGTCCCAGGGACGTCCTCCGTGCCGGGATGGCAGGGTTCCTAGCTTCACGGCACTCGCATCCGTCACAGCAGCTTTACCCACACGAACATTTTACCGTCACATTCCGACTTTGATTTGTGCAGCCAGCTTATCATGGGCAAAATGGCTTCCCGTTAGTCCACTGTTGCATTGACGATATCACTCCAGGTATCAGCGGCTCTGGCACCACGACCTGTAGCTGACCATCATCAAATGGCCGTCGGCGGCAATCACGGTAACAGCACCCACACGGCATTCGCAATTTCCCACCAGAGACAATATGATGCGCCATGCTTCAGCAGATTTTCGTGTGGCTTGCTCCATTGGAATATATGTTGCGCTATCCGTGATATGGCAGCGCCAGCCTGTGCTCTGCTCGAGTAAAACGCAAGGACCAATGAAGGCAGTGAAGTAGCTGAAAACACCCTCTCCGCATCCGTCTGCGTTGTCGCTCATCAGCAGTAAACTAGGGCCGTCGGCTTAACCCACCGGCAGCAGGACCTCTCTTCCAGGCTTCTATGCTACGTCCAATGAGTAGTGTTCCAGTTTCTGTAACCAGCAAGCTAACATACCCGTCAAATTTTTATAACTGCTTCAGGCGCTGTGAGGAAGCATGGTCGCTGCGCAGCAAAGTGTTTTCCCGTCGAGAAAACCTAAAAATGTCGAGCGAACCGAACGTCACGTGTTTCCCGTCGAGAAAACGTAAGAATGTCGAGCGAACACCGTCACGTGTTTTCCCGTCGAGAAAACGTAAGAATGTCGAGGCGAACACCGTCACGTGTTTTCCCGTCGAGAAAACGTAGAATGTCGAGCGAACACCGTCACGTGTTTTCCCCGTCGAGAAAACGTAAGAATGTCGAGCGAACACCGTCACGTGTTTTCCCGTCGAGAAAACGTAGAATGTCGAGGCGAAAACACCGTCACACCAAGCAGCTAACGCTTCGTGACTTGATAGGTGCTTCAAAACGAATTGGAGCGGCCGCACCACGCGTCTTTTAGCATGCCGAAAGCAATCTGTGCCCTCAGAGCTTTAGGTGAACCGTACGTCTTTGTTTGTCAACGGAATAGTAGTGGCAGCTAGAGTACTGAAGCCATCAGCATAATGTGTGAAAAGTGTTGCTGCACCGAGGAGACTTGCTGGCTGCTGAGCGGTTTTTCATACCGGACCCTGTCGTACCTTTTCGACTCTCGCTGGGTCAACACCGGCTGCCATCCTCAGATGCTACATGACCCAGGAATGTCACACTGGGCCGAAACCTCGCACATTTGCTCAAATTTAATGCCAGCCCTGCATCATTCAGTCGACCCAACGCCGTCTCTAGGCTGGCCAAAAGCTCATCGAAAGTGCGTCCATGCGAGATGACGTCATCGAAATAGCTCCGAGGTATATGGGGCGATAAATCAGTCAGCACAATATCGAGCAATTGCGCTGACGTGGCCGGTGAGGCAGACAGGCCCAGGGGCATACGACAAGGACAGTATGCACCAAATGGAGTTGCAATAGCTGCTCTTTCCGGGTCCTGAGGGTTCACAGATACCTGGCAATATGTAGAATTGAAGTCCAGCACTATGGAAGGGTTACTCCTTGCCAACGCTTCTAAGGAATTGTCTGTCCTTGGTTTGCAAGATGCTGAAATAGGGGTCTGGGCGTTGTGTTTCTTGGGGCCATTTGATGTCTTATTTTATTCTTGTTTAGTTGAGTGTGCATACACCATTTAGGAAAAATGAGAGGGTGAGATGGAGATACCCACCCTCCCTGAATCGCTTACAAAGGTCGCCGTCCCACTTGAAGAAAAACAGCATAGTTTTCACTTCAAAGAGGTTTTTGTACTTGATATTTGGTTCTCATGGTATCCCTTTTCATCGTAAGATTATAAGACAGGGACCTAAGTTTGTATCAAGCCTCAAACGCACACAGAAAGGATAAGATGGATCAAAACCCATGGTTTGTCGTCGGGGCGATTAAAATAGCCGTAAATGCTTTTTGGGGCTGCGTTTTTGTTTCATCATCGTGTAGGTATTGGTCAGTTCGGGTCTCGGTAATTATTGATTTGATCCTGTCGGGCTAAAACTGTCATTGGGATCAATCTGCGCTTTCTGCAATTGCCGAGTTGGTACGAGATGACGGAACAAAAATGTTTCAGCAGTGAAGTTGGTCGGCTATTTTGATCATTCATTATATTGTGTCTTTGGTTTGGTGTCTTGTAAGCCTAAATGAACCATTCCAGGATTATGCGATGGGTAATGGCGTTAAAGGTGGTACATTGCTTGCGGTGTTCATCCTGGTGTTCATCCTCAAGGTGAATGACGAGGTGTTGAGAGAACACGGAAAAAACGATTCACATGGTTAGGAGGGTGGACGATGTGTATGCTTTAGGTATCACAGACGAACTTTAGTATGCTACGCATGGCAAAAACTACTTTCGTGTATTCATTGTAGAGCATTTGTGTAATCTGGCACGGGCCATTTGATAGTGCATTGTGCCACAATTTGTAGAATGCTACATGGTTAAGAGTTTGGGCTCAAGGGTGCATCACCAGCCTCCCGAGCATCGTCCTGTCCAACAGGTGTGGCTGGCAGCCCGCTGGCGCTAGCCGTACCGCAGCCTGACCCGGGCCGCGTCGGGGTACCGGTACCTGTGTACCTGCGCACGAGACAGGACGAGCACGCCGACCTGTGCGCTGGCCGCCGGTGCCGACGCAGTCGCACTGTCTTCACAGGTGAGAGGTCACGTCGAGGTCACAGGTGAGAGGCCACGCCATGATTACAGGTGAGAGGTCATGCCGTGTTCACAGGTGAGAGGTCATACCGTGGCCACAGGTGAAATGTCACGCCATGATAACAGGTGAGAGGTCACGCTGTGGTCACAGGTGAGAGGTCACGCCGTGGTCACAGGTGAGAGGTCACGCCGTGGTCACAGGTGAGAGGTCACGCCGTGGTCACAGGTGAGAGGTCACGCTGTGGTCACAGGTGAGAGGTCACGCCGTGGTCACAGGTGAGAGGTCACGCCGTGGTCACAGGTGAGAGGTCACGCCGTGGTCACAGGTGAGAGGTCACGCCATGATCACAGGTGAGAGGTCACGCCATGATCACAGGTGAGAGGTCACGCCGTGGTCACAGGTGAGAGGTCACGCCGTGGTTACAGGGGAGAGGTCACGCCGTGGTCACAGGTGAGAGGTCACGCCATGATCACAGGTGAGAGGTCACGCCATGATCACAGGTGAGAGGTCACGCCGTGGTCACAGGTGAGAGGTCATGCCGTGGTCACAGGTGAGAGGTCACGCTGTGGTCACAGGTGAGAGGTCACGCCGTGGTCACAGGTGAGAGGTCACGCCGTGGTCACAGGCGAGAGATCAGGTCGTGGTTACAGGTGAGAGGTCACGCCGTGGTCACAGGTGAGAGGTCACGCCGTGGTCACAGGTGAGAGGTCACGCCGTGGTCACAGGTGAGAGATCGGGCCGTGGTTACAGGGGATAGGTCACACCATGGTCACAGGTGAGAGATCAGGCCGTGGTTACAGGGGAGAGGTCACGCCATGATTACAGGTGAGAGGTCACGCCGTGGTCACAGGTGAGAGGTCACGCTCTGCCCACAGGCTCAAGTGACAAAGTGTTCGTAGATACTGCGTCTCTGAGTAGTTGAACGTGCCGTGCTGCGGCCAGAGATAACGGAGTCTGCCTTGTGCACTTGGTAAGCATATATGCGCACCCGATGTGTATCGGATGGAATGCTCAGTGGGGATTTATTTATTTTACCGAGTATCAAAGGACTAGGGCAGTTAATGTCGCAGTTCCCGACATCTCTTAGTAGCCTCCGCTACTAAAGGTGTGTGCGCTACTCATGAACTGAAACAAGGCTCGTCGCAGGCCTCCAACCCACCCAACCGCTTCTGTCAGCCAAGTTTGTCGACAAACACATTCCAACCTGTGACTTTCCATCACAAGAAGGCTGCTGATTCGCAGAACTGTGTCCTTGCGACGGCTGAAAATGTTTAAGACGGTTAGTAATGTTAAAATGACTGAATAGTTCCCATGTTGAAATTAGCCAACATTTAATATTCCAGGAGGCTCTAGTTAAGCGATGGTTTCAAGCAGTCATCGGTATGTATCATGGAATACCCAACGTTGCAAGGCGGTGCTTAGCTCTCGCTCATTGACCAGCGGCAGTGGCAGTGGTGTTGGGGGCCCTTGGTCAGGGAGCGTGACCTGGATACGGCCTTGAAATGTCGGGTGTTCTCGTATATATATATATATATATATATATATATATATATATATATATATATATATATATCAGACGCTCAGAATCCAGTGAAGCTGGAATGGCCTTTCCGCAGTATGCGCTGTTAAGGGAGAATCGGTGATTGATACGTCATTTAACCAGTAGAGCTACTTGTATATTGGAGGTCGTTTATTTTCGGCAGAAAATGCACAAGGAGTAAAACCAGAAGCCTTGTGTTTTTTTTTCATTTTATTATAGCCGGTTAATGCTGACACATTTGCTACGCGACCTGTTTCAGAAGCGCAGCTGGTGGGCCTAGAGCGTAGATTCAGCGCGCAGAAGTACCTGAGCACCACAGACCGGATAGAGCTGGCCAGGTCACTGGGGCTCACGCAGATGCAAGTCAAGACCTGGTACCAGAACAGACGCATGAAGTGGAAAAAGCAGGTCAGCTGAACTGGATGCGCCTTGGTGTCATAGCCCCGTGCCAGTGCGTATTTCCGTCGCCTGTTGATACACGTATTTTGTCTTTGATCCCCTATTTTCTGACGCAGCATCCAGCGAAGATGCCAAAGTCTTTCCGCGTTATGCACTCTTTGTGGTGAACTGCTGAGAGTGTGTGTCGCGCCGCAGCTCTGATTAGTCTGAAGAGCGGGCCTCAGGGTCGCGGCCCGGCGGCGGCAGCTGGGCCGCCATCACAGCTGATTGCCCGATGCGTTCCGCCGCCTCCCGCTGGGGTCATTAGCGCCCCCAGCTGGCCGACAGACCGCACACTTCCGAGGGACGCCCGGCGCCCTCCCTCCCCTCCCCGTCGTTCTTCTCGGCCCAGGTCAGAGGCCAGGCCGGCCTCGCGGGGGCCCGCGGCGATACACTAACACATCAATTAGCGACACAGCGGGGATACACACACACACACACACACACACACACACACACACACACACACACACACACACACACACACACACACACACACACACACACACACACACACGACACGGACACGGACACGGACACGACACGGACACGGACACGGACACGGACACGGACACGGACACGGACACGGACACGGACACGGACACGACACACACACACACACACACACACACACACACACACACACACACACACACACACACACACACAACACACCACACACACACACACACACACACACACACACACACACACACACACACACACGGACACGGACACGGGTGCTCACGCATTTACGTGCCGTGATTCCAGTCCCGGGTGTCCAGCTTCCGCGCGGGGTGTTCGATTCGTCGTGTGCAGCACACGCGGAAGCTCTGCAGCCATCTAATTGCGAACTGCGCGGCCATCAGTCTGGCTATGTGCTATGTGATGTGTGCTAAGAAAGGGCACACATTGACTCAAAACCACGCGCGATGCTCAGAAGATGTGGTTCAAGAAGCCCTTGCGATCAGCGATGGCGTGGCTCGTCAATGAGCCGGGGCAGGTTCATGACGTCCCTGATCGTAACTGTGCGCGCAGAAATTGCTTGTGATGGGAGAATCGTTTTGATAGGCTGTTGCCGTGCCCGAACAAATGGAACATCTCTACGGCTCGAGATATGTCGCGCAGAGAGGATCTTAACGTTCGTGCTTTTTTTCTCCTTAACGTCGCGCTTCTGTAGGTACCAAGGAGGGACTGCTTCTTGCCGCCTCGTGTCTCTAACAGGCACACCATGAATGGGTGACATCATCCGACCAGTATCGACCCGGAAGTCGCTGACGATATGTGCGACGGGTTGGCTTAATGTGGTTTAACCACCACACGTGTCGACGACCCCCCCCCCCCCTTAGAAAGCGTGACCGAGTTGTCAGGACGAGGGCGGCACCATTCAAAGCTACCCTCTGCAGCGTTGAATGCCGGTTCGGTCAATTATCATAAAGCCGCCGTTGTCAACGAGTCTGGCAGCACAGCAGCCCGCAGCGATGCCTGCTGTGAGCCCGTGATCCCGACAGGGGCTCTGTCCGATTCGCTCGCTCTTGAGCGCGGTTGCACCCGCAGTGATGTCTGCTGCGGGCCCGTGGCCCTGACAGGGGCTCTGTCCGATTCGCTCGCTCCTGAGCCGGACTGCTGTGCCGGCAGTGATGCCTGCTGTGGGCCCGTGGCCCTGACAGGGGCTCTGTCCGATTCGCTCGCTCCTGAGCCGGACTGCTGCGCCGGTTACCCGCCGCCGTCTTGAACGAATGAGGCCCTGTCTCTGTGCAGGTGCAGTCGGGAATTCCTCGCGGCAAGGATATGCAAGTCACTGGGCACGCTGCCATTCTGTAACTGCGTGCTTTTTTAAGTAAAATAATTTAAAAGTGGATTATGCGCGATGGCTACAGCCGCCGGCTGTGGTGGGCTTCCCGCTGACGTCGGTTCTGCCGATGCGTCGGGATACCCGCCACGCTTTCAAGACGGCGGCGGCGGGGCCAAAGAAGCGCCACGTACGCACCATCGCTCGTTTGTCAGATCGCTGAGTGCCCCTAATATAGCTGCGCGTCCCTTTGAAATGGCCGCGCGGCTCTCGTGCTGCGCACCCCGCTGAGCGGTGCTCGCTGCAGCACCTGCAAATCGAGGGGGCGGGGGCGGGGGCGAGAGCGGACAGGCAGGTCACAACAGGCCGTCAGCGGCGGGTGGCGCGTGTCGTGTCTATCTCCGCGCCAGGTGCGTCGCCACGCGGCCGTGCGGCACTACGTCAGGAGGGGGCTCGTGCCCGTAGACCGACAGGTCGCTTTTGCTGATCGCGGTGTGACGTTGGATGTCAGTCGTAACTGTCCGCACTGTTCCCACGTATATGTCCTGGGCATCTATCTGCATGTATCTTTCTTCTGTCTCCACCAGTTCGCACTTCACTCTATAACATTCCAGGGTAAAGCTAGGAAGATTACGTACGGTGGCAGCTGGAACTTGCATATAACATCTGGAACTTGGAGCTTGGGCTGGAACTTTACAATGTGTCGGATTATGGTGGATATGGAACGTGGTATTACAAAACGGGGCCAGATGTGCATTCAGCCGCAAGATCGGCGTGGGATATCATTAACGCTAGAAGCGGCGATCTCATTAAGTTGAAAGCGCGTTTTTTTAAGAATACGATGATTTCTACTTCGAGGTGTGCACCGCCCATCAGTCTACCCGGCAACACAAAAATGCGATTATGAGTGGTCAATTTTGGACGCTGGAGGTTTTTGGGAGAGCTATAAATTAGTTTGACTTTTACAAGCCACACCAGAACTGGTCAAACATGAGTTGACAAGTTATGCCTTTTGCCTCTGTCATCGCCCCGGGAGAGGTTTGCAACAGTTGCCCTAGTTTTTCTCGAATATGACCTTCGAATACGGACTGCTCATATTGGTCATGCGTACTGCATGATAAATGAGCGTGCTTGCGTGTTTTGCTCCGAGGGACACCGAGTGACGTATCCCTTACACTGAACGCAGTAATTTCGAGATTATGCAACTATTCATCCGACACTTTTCACGCCGCCTTCAGGCCGTACGTTTTCTCACACAGTGCATGTGCACCAGGTGCTGCTGAAGGGGGAGCGGTCACCCACCAAACCCAAGGGCCGGCCCAAGAAGAACTCGGTGCCGTCGCTGGTGGAGCTGCAGCGGCTGACGTTCAGCGAGAGGCCGTCGCCGCCGCCGCCAGCGGCCGGCCAGCCGCAGGACAGCCAGGTGTCCACCTCCCAGCTGGAGGAGCGCGCCGCCGCCTCCTCCTCCTCAGACGACGAGGAGGACGAGGGCGACGTCAGCAGCGAGGAGGCGCCGCCCGAGGCGGCCTCCGGCCCGGCGGACTGAGGTGCTCTGTCTGGAGGAGGCGGCCTCGGGCCCGGTGGACTGAGGTACACGGCCCGAGGTGCGCGGCCTCAGGCAGCAGGGGCGCAGGGGGCAAATGGCCATGGTTACTTGTGAGACAGCCAGACAGCCAGCAGTGACGCACGGCCGCCATCTCTCCGCGCAGTGTGATGCCATGTTACAATCCGTTGGGTTGGAACTGACGGCTCCCATACGAAATGCTAATAGGTCTGAATGTGTCAGTGGAGGCAACTCCCAGAGCTCACGAAGCTCCAGTGTTACGTGAAATTGGATGTGAGTTCACGTTATTGTGGTTAAGTCTTTCTGCAGTGATGCTTTCATCATGTGATCCTTATCAGACTTCAAAACCTCTCTCTAATTTTTGCTAAGATTTTGAACGCGAAATTCGAGCCGTCACGGGACTTGATGTCTTGATTGGTTACTTGCACTACAGTGAAGGAGTGTCGTTATTTATTGATAATACAAGCTTCAGGAGACGGACGCATTGTCATGCACGTTGTTCCGAGTCATCGGCATGCTCAGGCGCGTCCCCTGACCTTACTGCAGGCGCAGTGGACGTAAACGACGGAGTACTTTGGTTTATGGGACGCAGCGTGTAATGGATGTGCAAATATTGTTCGCTTCGTTTGTCCCGACAAACTCTACAACCATCCCAGCATGGGAAGCCAAGCCAGAGAAGGCCTTGACGCGTTGCCGCGACCAATTGCCAAGGTCAAGATGAAAAGTTCACGATAACATTACTATCGAAACATTGACGTCGGCGCTGGTTTGGTGTCGTGCCTTCAAGAGGAGCTCCGGGCCGCCAAGCGCCAAACTCTTCAACCCATCACAACATCGTGGCCGACACAATTTCACGCGCGCGGAACCTGAGGGGCCTCCCGTTGACGGTGAAGCCACGCGCCGTGCACGGCTGCACCGCCTCGTGGCGGTACTGCGCTCGCCGCGGCATGGCTGCGCGTGCGTTCTTGCTATTGCCGTTCACCGAATCTTAAATCTACGAGCCATTAGGAGACAGTTCATGCGATCACATTCGTCGATACACATGAATGCCGTTTCAAGAGTCCTGAATCATACTTGATAAAGCGCATTAGAACAATCCACTTAGGATTAGGCAATCACCTACTAGCGACAAGCGCAACCGAGCTTACACATCGTCGCAGCGTTGATCAGTTTTCCTTGGCACTGCTTGTTGTCTTAATGATGTCACAACCGTTCACAGCAACATTGCGGAATGCTGCAGGCAATGCTCCAGGACTTAAGCCCCATCACGGGAGCGTCCGGCAACCAGAATTCGCAGCTCCCACGTTGACCTCCACTTTAGCATCTCCCACGTCATTCTAAGTCTGCTCGTCGCCTCGGTGGCTTCTCGGACGCCGGGCCGGGGCGGCGACGGAGCGTGACACCCAGGCCCTGACCCGTCCGGACAGCTGACGCAGCTGCCATCGGCGGCGGCGGGGGAGCGTCGACAGACGGGGGAGTGACACTCGTCAGGGCCCGGACCGCCCGGCCGGACCGCGTCGGAGACGGCGGCGGCGGCGGCAAAAACGGCAGGCAGCCGCGCGGCCGCCGGCGCGGCCAACACGGGTCTGAAGCGGCCGCCGACAATGGAAGTTAGCTCCGAGGTGGCGGCCAAAGGAGCAGACATATATTTTTTCACGACATTGACGCAGGCGCCCTGTTTGGGTAGTGGGCCCTTGACGGACAGCAGCCAACATACTTCACTTTTATCTCATTTCAAATTTCATATCACGATCTTGTTTTTCGCGTCTCAGCTATGGCACACGGTGCTGCGCAACCATGTGGCAGAAATGACCCATACGAAGTTAATGGCAGCGGATGTGAACGATGAAATTAATTCCACATGGAACGCCTCGTATCTTCGAACGCCAGGTGGTAAAGTCCAACTATAGCTGTCGAGATCGGACACGGTTTGCCGGCCAGATCTTACCTTTTCGTTCATGGCATGAGCCGCATCATCAATCCGCGACGTCACATCAAAACCACGTCATTCTTAGCCGATATACAGATACATCATGCGTATAACAGCAATTTTGTCATAGGAAGAGTGCCAGTGAAAGACAATTATCATAATTTTCTCACCGATCCTCAGCCAACCAGCATCATCTTAGAAACACCGTAAGAACTTCACCTTAGACTTACACTGAAAAAGCAAGTTCTTGGGAATGAGATCCAGACAAAAATATGTTGCAGCAGCATCAGCCTCTAAGCTAGCATGAACAAGTCCGTGTATTGCGTGACGTTCGGGGCGCACCATTGTGCAAACATCAGCTATAGCGCCACACAAAGGCCGATATCATAAGGGTTTACGGGTGCGCCGACGCCCAAGGCCACTTGACATGTGTAGAGGGCGGTGAAATGTCCCAGAGCATCGCGTCGTAAGGTAATGTAACGTAACGTAACTGCCACCGAAGGCTTTGCTCAAACACGGCATTGGCTGGTACGCTTCCGCTAGTCAGCGTTCAAACGGCGGATTTCGATTGGCGGCAGAAGCGTGGATCATTCTTGATTGATGCCGCGCGTGGCACAACGCATGGGACTGAATCCGTTGGAAATTTGCTGTCGTTCATAATGTGTTGACCGAACCAAATCGCGGGACCAATGGCCGCGCACTGTGCTTAATCAGTGCTTTTCCGCATCCCCACGCAAGCGAAATAATCAATCTGAGCCATCGTGAAAAGACAAGCACTATTGACCGTCAAAATCCTGTCCAACTGACCGTTGGTCGCGGCCTAGAAAAAAACTACATGGGCAGGCATAACACCGCTACGCGAAGAGACAGCGCAAGCGAGAAGTGAGGCGTCAAAGTAGTGTTTCAAACCACAGCGTCTCGGGTGGTGCCGAAGCACTGTATTACATTCGGTGGCGACACATCTCACGGTGGATTTTCTTTCGTCTACTGTCAGTGGCTAAACATCTATCAAAGGACGCGCTCAGCCAATCGATCACGTCATCAGTGCTGCGGAATGCAGACAGCGCAGTGAGGCTTGTACACATAAATACACCGGTACAGCAGTCATCTGACACAAATCGTAACACAATCGTAGCGTAGCTGAGTCCCAGAGCATTCAGATACTGATGCCTCCATCATAAAACTTCAAAACGGGGCTGCGATTGAACTATGGAACATTGCACAAAATAGGCGCGAACAGAGAAACGGCATACCCAGTGTGCGCCGGCGCCCGTGCGGGCGCTGGAGCAGACAAAACCACCAGAGTCAACCGTGCGCAACAGAGCCAGGCGCCTTGCCCACATATATCACAACCTGGAGAGCGAGTCCCCAGGACGGCTCGCAGCAGCCCCAGCCAACTCTCAATCGTATAAAAACACCCGGCCTCGTCACACAATCCGCTCCTACAATGTCGAGGAGGCGGCAGCGGCGGCGGCGGCGGCGGCGGCGGCGCCAAAAGCGGCGCCAACCGGCCTGAAGACGCCTGACTGAGCGCGAGGAGCCGGTCCGTGGGCTGGAGGGGCGAGCTGGCAGGCGGCCCCCGGTCGGCCGGCCGGGGGCCGCCCGCTCACACCACCGGCACGCGCACGGCACCGGCGGCGGCCAGCAGGCGGCGCGCCTTGGGCCGCCGCCGCCGCCGGCCGCGCGACTGCTTGTACAGGTAGCAGACGACGAACATGGAGACGGTGAGCAGGCCGATCAGCGCGTAGGCGGGCAGCGGCGGCCGGCGGGCGGCGCTCATCCGCACGGCACCGACGCCCGAGGCCGGCTCCGGCCAGCCGCTCTGTCGGCACGCGCACACCGAGGTCAGCCGGGCCACGGTCAGGTGGCCGCGGGACCGACGGCAGGTCACACGTAGGCCACGCGCGGAGGCCGCACGCGGTGCAGAGACGGCCCGGCGCGGGCAGCACAGGACATAACGGTGGCCGCCCGGCCGCCGGGGCCCGAACTCACAAAAGACTGGCCGCCACGCTATCTTAACAATCAGCACAGGATGAGGAATTTTGGAAAACACCGCTAATATCATGGCTCTTCGCCTCCTTTCAAGGGAACATTGATAAAAACATATTTTTCGGGCTCTAGCACATTCCATTAGTCGTGAGTTCGAAGCTTGCAACTAGTTCAAAAGTAGAGCTAAAATAGCCCACACATGCGTTCTTCACAGTGTCCACGTTTGTGTGCATGCAAACACAACACGGTGCCCAATCGAATGACAACACGAATCACGAATGCAAACGTATCAATCACGCCACATTTAGCTTAAGTTTAAGTGTGACTGAAGCAAACGTTAGTGTTATTTGGGCTGGTTTCCCAGCGATGCGGCATGTGTTCGTATGTTTGTCGAAGGTGCGTGTATACTGTGACGAGCGTGAGATGGAATGAACGCGCGCAAAACGCGCGAAAGTCATTGGTGAGTGATGGCACATCGTGTTTATCGTCGGATCATGCCAACTCTTGGTATGCAGAGCAGCGAGTTTGCCTATTTACGCGGGAATGTGCGCACCGACACCAAAAAGTGCCCCAAAGTCCAACGGGGACCCCCGCCACTTCAAAGACGAAAAAGAACGCGGCTTATAGCATAGTAAACGGGTTAAAATTTCGCTCCGTGCAATACAAAAACCCGGATGCAACAATGTTCCGCAATCTTGCATCAGATACACAGCGGCTGCTATACAACATTGTTAAATGCGCTTGAGATACGGTGCAGCCGCACCGGGCGCCGACCGTAGCACCCCATCCACCCACCTGCGGCGATTTGAGCACATCCTGGCGTATAGCGTTGAGCGGCAGAATGGGGCTTTCCAGACCCACAGACAGCAGCTTGGCGGACTGCAAGAGAGCGCACGCCGGCCAGACGGACGCGTGAGAAGCGAAACTGAGGCCGGCACGCGCACGCGCACACCTCACACCTCACACGGCACACGTCAGGCAAACAACACGCCGCGGTGCACATGCACGTGGCGAGCGTGGCGCCGCCGGTGCTGCCAGGCGGCGCGTCTGGGCCGCTTTGTCGGCACGGGTCAGCGGGGTGCATCCGATTGGGGGCGGCGCGACGCCCAGCGCGGCGCCGCCCCCAGTCGGAACGATGGAATTCCGTGTTCCACAACTGTGATGCGCCGTCACCGTCAACACGCAACTTTTCCACCGTCAATGGGCCGTTCCACGGCAGACCGGCCGATGGTCGGCAGCCTCGTCTTTCGGATGGGCCTAACGCACCTTTAAGGGTACCTGATGCTCTGAAGCTAACTGTGCAATGTTCAGCCCGACAAGCAGCGGTGGACCGAGCACTCGGGATTTCTGACAGGTCGCATTGCGTGACATCGGCGGTCTACATCTCATACGTTAACAAGTGCAATCATACAACGCCCATTTCGCATTAAAGCAATTATTTCTCCATATTATATTAACATATATATTATATATATATATATATATATATATATATATACACATTAAACTATATTTTTATTTATTTAGATTATTTATACGGATTAGACATATAC